CAGCTGCTTTGGCAAACGAACCCTAGGGGAGAACTGTTCTGCTACTTCTGCTGTGCGTCGGGTCCGAACTGCAACGACCACCTGAACGACGTCAACAACCTCTTCCGCTTTTCATGAGTTGATTTAATTGGAGAATAAATGGTGAAAAAACGCTGCATCAAAGTTCATTAAAAAATTTTTTTAAAAAAACTTGTTTCGGTAACTGAGCTGGGATACAAGTTTTAGGCGACTAGCTTCATCCGTACTGGGAATTCTTTTGGGCTTTTCGGGTTTTTTTGGTTTTGTTCCTTGTTTTTTTTGTTGTTGTTGTTTTTTTTTTTTATTTTGGTTTTGGAGGTGGGGGGGGGGGGTGGTGGTTTGGTGTGGTTTTTAGTTTTATAACTTTTTAGCTGGGGATATCATAATTTTAACATAGAGCTCTATAGTTTAAATGATTGTCCATTTTTTTTTTTTTTTTGTTTTTTTTTTGTTTTGTTTTTTGTTTTTTTTGTTGTTGTTGTTTTTTTTTTTTATTTTGGTTTTGGAGGTGGGGGGGGGGTGTGGTGGTTTGGTGTGCTTTTTAGTTTTATAACTTTTTAGCTGGAGATATCATAATTTTAACATAGAGCTCTATAGTTTAAATGATTGTCCATTTTAAAAAAATTGAATTACATTGTTTATCTCTCTCTTCCTCTATCTCTCTGTCCCTCCCTCTCTCTCTCTCTCCCTCTGTCTTTCCCTCTCTCTCTCTCACTTTCTCTCCCCCATCTCTCTCTCTCTCCCTCTTTATCTCTCCCCATCTTTCTCTCCCTCTCTCTCTCACTTTCTCCCCCCCCATCTCTCCCTCTCTCTCTCTCTTAGCCGTTCTTACTCCCAATGGAGTATAGGCAATCCACAATAATTGTCCGCCTGTCCCTGTCTTAGATTATCTTTGCTAATTCAACACAGATTTTTCTCTTCACATCTGCCTCTTCACCCCTCTTCACATCTGCCTCTTCACCCCTCTTTACATCTGCCTCTTCACCCCTCTTCACATCTGCCTCTTCACCCCTCTTCACATCTGCCTCTTCACCCGTCTTCACATCTGCTTCTTCACCCCTCTTCACATCTGCCTCTACTCTCCTATTCACATCTGCCTCTTCACCCCTCTTCACATCTGCCTCTTCACCCCTCTTCACATCTGCCTCTTCACCCCTCTTCACATCTGCCTCTTCACCCCTCTTCACATCTGCCTCTTCACCCCTCTTCACATCTGCCTCTAAACCCCTCTTCACATCTGCCTCTTAACCCCTCTTCACATCTGCTTCTTCACCCCACTTCACATCTGCCTCTTTACCCTTCTTCACATCTGCCTCTCCTCTCCTCTTCACATCTGCCTCTTCACCCCTCTTCACATCTGCCTCTTCACTCCTCTTCACATCTGCCTCTTCACCCCTCTTCACTTCTGCCTCTTCACCCCTCATCACATCTGCCTCTACACCCCCTTCACATCTGTCTCTACTCTCCTCTTCACATCTGCCTCTTCACCCCTCTTCACATCTGCCTCTAAACCCCCTTCACATCTGCCTCTACTCCCCTCTCCCATGTGGCTTTTGAGAAAGGAAGACATTTTTTTAGGACTCTTAAAAAATTAATAATTTTAAAAAAATCTATTTGATATTCTATCCTAAATTATGTAATAAAGAGAGACAAGGTTTCAAATGTTCCTGTTTGAACGTGAAATGTTATATTCTTGATAAGCAACACGGTCAATTAAATTATATGATACTTACTGCAAGTATTGTTAAACTTTTTTTCAGTTTTGTAAAATTTAAAACAATAAAAATTTTCTTCTAAAAAGTGATAATACGTTTGTTACCAATACTATGACTCTATTATTCACTAAACAAAATGCACCAATATTAACATAGACTTTTATGGCACAGTTTCCTTGAAACGTATACAGTGAATGTGAAGAAATTATTTGAAATTTAAAAAAAATAAAATAAAGAAAGCAGTCCAAGAAGTGAAAGATTGGAAATAAAGTGATACAGAAAAAGTTCAAATATGCCGCTAACCAAGTGAGGCCAGCAAAACTTTACAGGCAGCGCTTCAAAACAAGAAAAAAAAATTTTTTTTGCAAAAAAAAATAAAAAAATTTGACGGTTCTCACATGTTAATATTTTAGGGGGGTCACCCACTATGACGCCACGCATCGGCGGTGAGGTTGTCATGATTTTTTTTTGATGAACTATGATGAGGATGTCTAAATTGATGTGACAATTTTGTGACGATAGGGGAAAGGAGAAAAAAAAAAGGGGAGGGGGGGGGAGGGTGGGGTCCAAAATTGGCGACCACAGAGTTACGTCATTTCTGGTTGGTCCTTCAACAAAACAAAATCAAAAAAAATTTTTTTTAAAATCATAGGTCATTAAAATTTTAATTTTGGCCTTGCTTCGTGAAACCAGAATAAGAGATATCAAATGCCGTATTTATTTTCACGTACACTGTCTTTGTGTATGTTCATCTTCGGTCGCTGTTTCTGTTATATTCTGGACTTTGTATTCAAAGGAAATATGATTGAAAAATAACAACAATAAAAAAAATTCCAAATTTTATCAATGATTATTGAAATAATTTACCATCAGCTCGCAGTGGCGTTGCCATTGTCAGTGGCGCCAGGGGTGAGCCAAGCTTTTCTTGCCTCCTACGAAGCACGCGTAATGATTTTGTTCCTCGAAATTCTAGGCTGGAGAGGGCGGGACAGCGCCGACCTGCTACGCTGGGCGAGGCGGACGTATTACGCTGGACAGGGCGAACTTGCTGCGCTGGACAGGGTGGACCTGCAACGCGGGACAAGGCGGACGTATTATGCTAAGACAGGGTGGACCTGCAACGCGGGAAAGCACGGACCTGCTACGCTGGACAAGGCGAACGTATTACGCTGGACAGCGCGGACCTGCTACCCTGGACAAGGCGGACGTATTACGCTGGACAGTGTGGACCTGCAACGCGGGACAGCGCGGACCTGCTACGCGGGACAGCGCGGACCTGCTACGCTGGACAAGGCGAACGTATTACGCTGCACAGTGTGGACCTGCAACGCGGGACAGCGCGGACCTGCTACGCTGGACAGGGTGATTCCGGTGCACTTGGACCAAACCTAAAATTGGCTAAAGTGATATGGGAAAAATCTGTAGAATAAATAGGTTCCAGTTCGTCGTTCGGGTTCATTCTAAGACCAACAAACAAACAAACAAACAAACAATACAAAAGCCCGAATTATAGGAATACTGATAAAGCAAGTATTGATCATATTGAAAGATTTGATGAATTCTTACATAGCAAAACTTCAAGCACATACTAATCTTAAACCCAATCGACCTTAAACAACCACAACCTAAGATGAGTTACACCATTTTAACGTATATAAGTACAAATTCACCAGGCCCATACTGAAAAAAAAAAAATTTACTTCGTTTATGGTTCAAACTGAGAAAATATTTATTTAATGCAATTTAAAAATATCGTGTTTTTTTTTTTACAATCAAAATCATCTTTATTTGAATACTAATTTCACAGTTGCGTAAATGATTACGCAAATTCGGTCGATTAAAATCTCTTAATTTAGACAAGTTTTTTTTTTAAATTTTGAATGTCAACTGAGATTACAAAATCGTTTTCTTTCAACAGCAACAGCTTATCTGAATCGTGCCAAACTTTAGCCTAAAAAAACTAAACTGTATGGGTGATTAAACAATTTAATGTTTATACGTTTACAATACTTACACTGTTGATTGCATTGTGTTTCCGGGGAAGTGTCAATTATTATTATTAATTAGAAAAAAATGAGATAATTTTATTGTAAGGAATTGGGATTAGGCAGTCTATGATCTAAACTTAAATATCCAATATTATTTCCAAGCATCAACTATTTCTTATCTTTTTATATTACAAGTAGTGTCCCATTCAGGAATGCGGGCAGTAGCGTTATTTTAACATCAAGGTACTGCATTTTCATTTAGAAACCCCAAAATTTATTAAATAGCATATCGTTCATCATGGCCATTACCATAACAGAGCGCAGCGTGTAAAGAGTGAGCCTTGAAATAGCGGTGTCCCTGGAATCTATGCCAACTTGACCCCGGCGCGGATTGATGCCTTAACAAATACACCTTGAAATGGCGTTAATCACGTCTGACGAGAAATGCGCCTGTGTTTCTGAAGAACAGAGTCGTGGGTTTCCCTGCAAATCGTTTTTTTGTTTTCTCCACACCGCGCCGGCGACGATTTGTGGCCATGAGCCGGAAGTGACGAGACCCTTTGCTGACCCCGAAGTCTGCTACCAAGCCATTGTGTGTGTTTTAAAATCGTACTGCAGAACTGCCTTTTCTCAGACGACTCGCTATGTGCCTGGGGGGGGGGGATAGCGTTTCAAATGAAACGATGGTGTGTTGAAAGCAAGAGTATCAAAATGGTGACAATTCACAAATAGCCACGCGTACATTTTTGTTTTGGATGTTCATAACACATTCCTCACAATCTGTGCTCCACATGTGGATGTGCGTATTTGACTACACTCAATGAAGAGTGTTTAAGCATAATGAAGTTTGGCCTGTCCTGTTAAGTCTATGCACTTCCTGGTTGTTTTATCATTATTTCTTATTCGCACATGCTTTCTCCTTTCAAATCATTAAGCATGCTGATCATTCTGCCCGAAACTGCCAATAGCACCACTTTTGCCTCAGTCCCAGGGTTTTGCGTAATTTCCAAATTACATTGTACAGCAACAAGGGACATTAGCTTTCCGACCTTCAACAAACATGAAAAAAAACACAAAAACTTTTTGATTTAGTTCGACTGTCCTGGTTTGGTTAGAGATTAGAGATTTGTAATTTGATGACAAATTAATTGGAGTAACTTTAACAATGGAGTCTATGTTTAAAGAAACTGATGTCGCAATACGGAAAATGGACTTTTTTATTTTTTTATAATTATATCTTTGGGACTTTTAAAAAAATTAAACATTGTTTTTTAAAATATTATATCCTTGAAGACAAATTATTATAATTGTATTTCTCATAAAATAAATGCATTTTTATTTGGACATATTATTACTAGTTTGTGAGAATCCCTGCTGATCTGATAAGAAGACAATTTGAAGCTAGCTCCATTTAGACGATACATTTTAACGGCTGTCATTTTTTTTACAATATGGGACTGTTAGCGTTAACATTTGTGTTGCTGCTAGGTGAGTCACTATCTTTTGTATTTACCTAAGTTAGCGTCTCTTGTGGACAATAACTGAATTTGTATTGGTGAGTCACGACCTTTCGTATTGGGCATAATTTGTCATCTCTTATGTACCATAACTGTATTTGTGTTGGGTTACTTGTGTGGCCAAACAGCCAGAAGCGTGCCAATTCTAAGCTCGAGGACAGGAGTTCAAACCTACACCAAAATAAAAGCGACATCAACACCGTGGGGTGTGTGGGGGTGGTTGGGAAATAATCCAAGACAAGGCAAACTCTGAAATCAAACTCGGAGATGGAGTCCTGTAGGCGGTATGACATTGGCACAATGAACATTACAACAACTCCCAAGATGTGGAACGCATAAAGAGCACAGCAAGACGCACGCACGCTGGTCATCTATTGCATCCTGGTCTATTTCCAGTCGTCTTGACCACGTCTTGCCATTGGATCAAACAGGACATGAAGAGAGAATGAGGCGGACGAAGTGAGCAACTCTTACTCCCTTTAAACAAAATACATCTCAAGTCAGGGCTAATATTCAAGTCGAATCCTTGGTCTTCTTCGCATGAAAAATGAAACAGAAGAACAATAATAATTGTGAATAAATCTACTTAGCCTCTAAACATGTTAGCCTCAAATTTTCAACATTTTCAAATAAAACTGCTAAAATTGAAAGATTTTTTATTTTTGTGAAACTTTTACACAAAAGCAAAATCAATTATAAACTATATTTTTTTACATGATAAAATTCCAATCTAAATTATAATTTTAATGTAGTCGCTGTTCATAAAGTTGATCTGAAACTTAATTATTGATGTAATTTCAATAAAACAAAATTCCAAAATGAACCAAATTGCATTCAAGCGAACAGACATACCCCAAAGCCTAACGTCGAAAACCAAATTAGTTTTAATTGGCTGGTTGTACATTTATTCTGCAATACAAGGGTGACGTTAACATTGATACTTCGGGCGGTGGTGGAGGACACGGAACGTTTGTGGAAAACGGGAGGCTGGGGCTGAAATAATATGTATACACATGTTGGACGGGCTGAAACGAGCTGCGCCACATGAGAGTGTTGGCATTTCAAAAATAACGTTTTTTCTCTTGCCTATTCCTATTATTTAATTTGATTTTCTTAATATTAAGTTTACGCCGAAACAAACAGCGGAGTGATGCATTATTACTATGTTTAAAACACATTATTACTATGTTTAAAACACATTATTACTATGTTTAAAACACATTATTACTATGTTTAAAACACATTATTACTATGTTTAAAACACATTATTACTATGTTTAAAACACATTATTACTATGTTTAAAACACATTATTACTATGTTTAAAACACATTATTACTATGTTTAAAACACATTATTACTATGTTTAAAACACATTATTACTATGTTTAAAACACATTATTACTATGTTTAAAACACATTATTACTATGTTTAAAACACATTATTACTATGTTTAAAACACATTATTACTATGTTTAAAACACATTATTACTATGTTTAAAAGCAATATGTTTCCAAACAGAGCAATGTTTAGCTCAGCCGCACGCAGTCCTTGACCTACAAGCAGCTGCGACGTGCTACCATTGTGACACTCACGCACGTCATTTCCCAGCATGCCTCAGCGAGCCTGTCACTTGTCATCCCGACGAGGTGGGAATTAGTAACAATTTTAGTTAGAAAATATACTCATCTCACGAACCTTTATTAGCATCCCAACCCACCCACCCCCCAGCCCCCACCCCCAAATCCCAACCCGTTTTGCTTCATTTAACTTCTTTTAATCATCTCTTAGGTCTTAGGGCAATACAGTGACAAATGTCAAATGTAGGCAAGTTTACTTATGTTGTGATTTACGTTGCGTGCGTTTGTAAACAAACTATTCAATAATTATGCAGATGACTTGCATGGTCTGGCATCAAAACCGTTTTGAAATGCTACTTTACTTTACAAAGGCAAATTTAAGTTACAAATCTAAGAGCACGTCTAGCGTACGTGGTATGGTGTAGCCGTATAGGCTGAATACCGTGTTATTTGTTAGGCTATTCAACGATTAAATTGTATTAAAACACGAAAATCTATAACAAGGGATGGTGCTGACGTAGGATGATGGCACTTTGACCCGCCCCCCCCCCCTCACACCCATTTCCTCCTGATACCCGAGACTACTTTCTAGATCAACTCTACGAAAATACCAAAAACATTTACTCTCCGCCTAAACTTGACTTCTTCCTCACATCAAAATAATTCTCTATGTAACAATGTTTACTAACACCACCAGGACGCTCTGATATCACTAAATGATTTACACGATAACTGCGCTAAATGAGATTCATGAAACTACTGCATGCCCGTTTGGTGCGTAATATTTTCTTTTTTTATCGAAACAGTCTCGTCTATATATATAATTCGCCAGAAGTAGGGTAATCAACAAGACAACCACGCAGACTATTTATAGATACGCCAGAGCAAACAAGACGCTCCCCTCCCTTCCCTTGCCACCCTCACTTGCCAGCCAGCTCACGGCGTATGCTAAGCCGCGGGTAGGCGTGAAATAAAAAGTGTGGCGTGAAGTATCATGAAAAAATGTGGGAGGGGGGGTGTAGGTAAATTGTCATTCTTAAATGTGCGTAACTTGAGTTCACGTTTTTTGTCAAGTAACTTTAGAAGATGGGCAGTTCACGCAGTGCTGTCGCCAATGTTTGCCGGGCTACATCTAGTTCAAATATTATAGTATACATATGAAGTTTAAACATGGTTGTGACATTAGGATATTAATATAGTTCAGTGGCACGAAAAAAAGTGGGGAGTATGCGAACCTGGAAAAAAAAAAGGGTTGGGGGGGGGGGGGAGCACTAATTGGGATTGTTATAAAGTGCGTTGCTAGAGTGCATGTTTTTCAAGTAACTGTGTAAGTAGATGGGAATTTCACGCATCGCTGCCACCATTGTCTGGTGGTCTATAACTATTGGTGTAATAAATCTGCCGTGGAAAAGTGGGTGGGGCATTAGTATATTAATATAGTTCATGGGCGATGGCGTACGGGATTTTTTTTTGGGGGGGGGGTGTTGGGGTGGAGGAGCACTAATTTCGAAATCTTATCAAATTCGTTACTTGAATTTATGTTGTGTCAAGTCACTTGAGTAGATGAAAATTTCATGCATTCCCGCCCCCATTCTTTGATGAGCTGTATAGCTAGTCGGCCAGTAAATCCAGTTAATCCTAGGACGGTTCAGAAACATGAAACAACAATAGAGAATATTCTCAGCTGCTGGTAATTTCCGTTGTTCTTCCATCACTCCCAGGCGTGTTCGATATCCTATGGAACTGGACTACCCACCATCAGGTGCCAGAAATCTGACGTAAGTTGAACTCTGGATAAAACTTTAACGTACATGACTGTCTGGGGTCTTAGCATTTATCATTCAACAACAGCAAATAAACCAATTCTAAAGACATATAATTTACAGTTTTAACACTATACACATTATCGACGGAATTTTAAAATCATACCACGAATGGCCACTAATTGTGCAAGGTTTCACTTACAACATTTTCTCAAATAAAAATATGCTTCCGGTAATTATGACATACACGCATACCTTACATAAACCATTTTGGTTGAAAATTAATTTTGGATTATGAACCAAACATTTTTAAAAAAAGTTTAATTAGCAATAACATATTATTCCATCATAAGTAAATGCCAATATTCGTCCATGTTTTTTAAAATCTCCCCTTTTTAAATAGTCTGTTTCTGGTCTCGGCCAAATATAGTCTCTGAAAATTTCCTCTGTGTCAAAATTATCAACTTTTTGTCCACATTTAGGCTTGTTTGCATGATGTGTCACATCCCATAGGGGGTTGCACCGGAGGTGGTGTAGAGGTCCACCCCAACCAGTGTGAGCTCTGCTGTCACACCACAGCCTGTGTTCAGGGCATCAATGGACTCCTGCTGCAAGAATTCCGTACGTGTGTATGTTAGCAACTATTGGCACGTGATGTGCGCCGTGTTTAATAGCCTGGTCTAATAAGTTAAGCGATCTTCCCATTTTAAAACATTGAACAACATAATTAATGACATTTCTGCTGGAAAAATAAGTTGGTTAGGCAGAGCACAGCATCCAATTCAGTTGGAATGACGTCATGACAAATACAAAAAGAGTCAAACTCACGAACCCAACCGTTCACAACTTACAGTTTAACCCACCAATTACTATCAATGGCGTCATGACAAAGGCATTCAGACTCAAACTCTCGAACACAACCGTTTACAACTTACAGTTTTACCCACTAATACTATAAATGACGTCATCACAAAGGTATTACAGACTAAAACTCTCAAAGACAACCTTTCACAACGTACAATTTTATCAATTACTTTTTCTTGTCGTTTCTTATTTTCCAACTTTCTTGTGTTAAACTGCAATCATTATTGAGCCCTCATATCTCTTTTTCTGCGCTATACTTTGCAAGATCATTTCAATTTCTTTCTATACAACAATCCATTTCCTTGAAGTCTCTTTGTCCCATATTTTCTGTGGCATTCCTATTTTTTCTAATCTGGGGATTAAAGAACATTTTAACACTGACTGGCACGAAATAAAGTCACTTCTGAAACAAAGGAGCAATGTTTTCTGATATAGATTAGCAGCCGAGCCTACAAACGTCACGAGTGGCATTTTGTAAGACGCTGTGGTGGAGGGGGTATATTCTCATGAGAGCAGGTGTTATAGCCACATGAGAATAGGTATTATTGTCTCATGAGTGAAGGTGTTACAGTCACATGAGAGGAGGTGCAATAATCTAATGAGAGGTCGTGTTATAGTCTCATGAGCTGTTGTTGTGTGTTTGTGTCTGTGTGTGTGTGTGTGTGTTTGCTTGGGTACCTTTTTTCAAAGCATAAACATAAAAAAAAAAATGAACATCACCTTTCAGCTCAGGTTGGTGTGACTGTTCTACAGCAAGGCCCAGTCACGTGTTACCACTGTGACCAGCAGACCCGCCATTTCCCAGGATGCCTCAGCCAGCCTGTCACCTGTCGGGCAGACGAGGTAGGAACGTCTTAACAGGTTCCACAAGTACCATCGGTGGCTCATCCTAATGTTTTATTCCATAGCTTTGCACTGTTCGACGGTTACTTAAACAACGGGCGATTGATATGTGGCCCACGAAAATACAGTGTAACACAAAGCAATGTAAACAAACTTATTTTTTCCGCGCACGCTAATCGCTCGGAAACACCTGGACAATGCCGCCACGGACTCAACATCAATCGAGAGCTTCAAGGCTGCCCTGGCGTTTGCTGGGAGCCTTTAGGATAGCAGTATCGCTTTCCTCAACCGTTGCACATATGCCAGTACATGGATTCAGCAACGCACCCCTCCCACCCCTCCAAAACCAGAACATGTTCTCAGACGTTGCCATAACTGCCTGTACATTAGATCGTACGATATGTTTCTGAATTTAAAAAAAAAATCCCTTGGTCTGTCAATGAGACATTGACGTTAAGACTTGCATTGTTCTGACGTTACTTATACACTGAACTAAATGTAATGGAACTTTTCATCGATTACTCGAAATTACAGTAAAGAAAAATTGATGGACAGTAACTACTAGACATACGCCTACAGGATAAGATGACAATTGTATGTAAGATTATTACATTTTCACCAATTGTTTTTTTTTTTTTTTCCATTCATCACATGCAGGTTTGCTCTATATCCTATGGTATTGGTTTACCATTTTTCAGATGTGAAAAGTCAAACGTAAGTAAATCTCAAAACTGAATTCAAGCTTTAGTTTCAGTTTCCTAGATCAACCGCTGAACTGAAGTTAAACTATAGTTTCATTTTCCTAGATCAACCGCTGAACTGAAGTTAAACTATAGTTTCATTTTCCTAGATCAACCGCTGAACTGAAGTTAAATTATAGTTTCAATTTCCTAGATCAACCGCTGAACTGAAGTTAAGCTATAGTTTCATTTTCCTAGATCAACCGCTGAACTGAAGTTAAACTATAGTTTCATTTTCCTAGATCAACTGCTCAACTGAAGTTAAAATATAGTTTCATTTTCCTAGATCAACTGCTGAACCGAAGTTAAACTATAGTTTCATTTTCCTAGATCAACCGCTGAACTGAAGTTAAACTATAGTTTCATTTTCCTAGATCAACCGCTGAACTGAAGTTAAACTATAGTTTCATTTCCCTAGAGCAACCGCTTAACTGAAGTTAAACAATAGTTTCATTTTCCTTATTACCGGTACAATGTTTACTGAGAATTTAAAAAAAAAAAATTGTCTGTTAATGCTGAAATGGACACTTCACAAAGGGCCTAAATGAACTGATACAATGTCAGGGGTCAAATTATAACTTTGATTTTTTTTTTACACAACGACATCACATGAATTGTGTAGGATATTAAATAACTCCTCATAAAACAGAACTTCATAATATTTTTTTAAGTTGTCTCGTAAATTAATTCCTATTTAAATGTTCTTGTTCCCCATCCAGGATTGTGTTCGAGACGTGTCTCATCCCATGAGGACTTGTGCTGGGGGTGGTGTAGAGGTACAGACCAACGAGTGCGAGCTCTGCTGCTCTTCGTCAGCCTGCATGAACGACATCAGTGGACTGCTATTGCAAGAGTTCCGTACGTGTGTATATAAGAATGTATCGGTCATCATACAAGAATCAATCGGTCATCATATAAGAATCCATCAAGAATCATCTAAGAAAATATCGGTCATCATATAAGAATCTATCAAGAATCATCTAAGAAAATATCGGTCATCATATAAGAATCCATCAAGAATCATATAAGAGAATATCGGGCATCATATAAGAATCTATCCGTAATCATATGAGAATATATCGATCATCATATGCCATATCAATAGTGACATAGTCGTTAATGATCTCTAGCCTTTTCATCACCATATTTCTCCACAATCTCAATGTATTTTGCATTCTCACTTTGAATATTAATGCCTTTTATTAAAATTAAATCAAACACAAAAATTGCTTGTCATCTTTAAAAAACTAACCAATATTAAACTACATCGCGCCTTTCGATTCCAGCGTACCAAACTGCGAACCAAGGAATCTTCTGCCCTGGTTCGTGTCCGGAGACCGACATCGCCACATGCGTCCACACGGCGACCTACTGCCACGCGGATCAGGTGGGTCAAAGTTCATGCCTTAAAGCGAAGAAATCGAACTCGTTTTATACGAGATCCACTATTTGTTATCATGACTTTATTTTGACAGACGTGGAGAACGATTAAATCCTACACCAGGTCCTCTACCGCACAGTCCTTTAATCTTGTCCATCTCAATGAATGGACCATTTTAAAAGTAATTGTATGAAATGTATAAATGTATATAAATGTATATATATATATATATATATATATATATATATATATATGTTTATTTATTTATTTATTTTGCTCATTATGCTCTCATCCTTCCGTCAAAATGTGACGATAGTGTGGATTTCGCAGGACGAAATCCACAAGGCCTGGGATTATTCTTCCAAATTAAGCAACAACAATTTGCCTCTCTACAGCTTGGCACCAATGGCGTCGTCGGACTGTTTCATTGTTCCGATGTTATCCGCCTACGGGACTCCATCTCCGGGTTTAAATTCAAAGTTTCCTTTTATACAAAGAGTTGCGTTCCAACGTTAACGAGTCCCATCAGCCCAAGGTGCTGCTGATGTTTTTGCTTGACTCGGCTTTGTGCGGATTGAACTTTAGAGACCATCACCTTGAGATTTGCTCAGTTTAGACCAATCGGGCACCCAGCAACTTATAAATATAACTATAAAATAAGTATGAAATGGAAAACAGTTTTTTAAATAAAGGAATGTAAAAGACTAATTTTTCTTTAACCTCAGCACAAGTCAAATTTTTAAATTAATAATAAAATATTTCGCTTTTGTTCAATAAGTTAAAATCCTATAGGCAACAGTTCTCATAACGTGCTTCAAAAACTTCTTAAGAATTGCTCCATTGCTATTTAAACGTGATAGGAATTGTTCCGGTATGATTTATACGTGTTACAAATTGTTCCGTTGTGGTTTTAACGTCTAATGACATGCATCTCTATGAAACGTATATTCGTATACTATTATTTGTAACCTCCACAGTTCTGTGAGGTTGGCATTGACGATCACTTGATAGTACAGGGACACTGTAAGAACGCTCACGAGCTGCAGGTGAGCCGGACATGCATTCATATGTGTTTACACATTCATGTACATCTTAAGGTGGAAATGTTTGGGAAGCAAATTTATTGGATTTCAAATTTTCGTTTCAAGAATTACATGTCAAAACTGTAACTTTTATCACCGGATTTAAACGAGAAATCTGGAGATTTGATAAATGATGACATATGTTTGACAGTGAGAGAGTTGATAAAATACTGAAATATATTTAAGAGTGAGAGAGTTGATATATTTATGACTTATGTCTAAACATTCTTTTACAATCAAAAATGTCCTTGCTTTTTAATCGTGTCTCCGCTGTGTTCCTACACAACAGAAATGTCACGACGACCTAGCTAGACACCCGTGCGCACTGACCGTCGGTCAACCTGGTCACATCGCAAAATGCATCTGGGACTGCTGTCAGAGTAAAGAGTGCCTGGCTGCCCATTTTGGCGCCTACATGGGTAAAACAATATATAAAAATCTAAGTTTACTGGGGGCTGAAGGCTTGGGGGAATAAGGGAAGGAAGGGACTGGGAACTGGGGGGACTGAGGGACTGGGGGAATTTTGGACTTGTGGACTTGGGGACTTGTGGACTTGGGGACTTGTGGACTTGGGGACTTGTGGACTGGTGGACATGTGGACTTGTGGACTTGGGGACTGAGGGACTTGGGGACTGAGGGACTTGGGGACTTGGGGACTAAGGGACCTGGGGACTGAAGGACTGAGGGGACTGAGGGATTGAGGGACTTGGGGACTGAGGAACTGAGGGACTTTGGGACTGGGGGACTCAGGGATTTGGGGAATAGGGGACTTGTAGATTTGGGGACTTGTGGACTGGTGGACATGTGGACTTTTGGACTTGTGGACTTGGGGACTTGTAGACTGGTGGACTTGGGGACTAGGGGACTTGTGGACTGGTGGACATGTGGACTTGTGGAGTTGGGGACTAGGGGACTTGTGGACTGGTGGATATGTGGACTTGTGGAGTTGGGGACTTGGGGACTTGTGGACTTGTGGACTTGGGGATGAGGGGACTTGTGGACTGGTGGACATGTGGACTTGGGGACTTGTGGACTTGGGGACTTGTGGACTTGGGGACTTGTGGACTTGTGGACTGGTGGACATGTGGACTTGTGGAGTTGGGGACTTGTGGACTTGGAGACTTGTGGACTTGTGGACTTGGGGACTTGTAGACGTGTGGACATGGGGACTTGGGGACTTGTGGACTTGGGGACTGGTGGACATGTGGACATTTGGACTTGGGGACTTGGGGACTAGGGGAATTGTTGACTTGTGGACTTGTGGACTTGGGGACTAGGGGACTTGTGGACTGGTTGACATGTGGACTTGTGGACTTGGGGACTTGTGGACTTGTGGACTTGGGGACTTGGTGACTGAGGGACTTGGGGGCGGGGACTTGGTGACTGAGAGACTTATGGGGATTGGGGGGACTGGTGGGACTGGGGGATTAGGGGGAATTGAGGGACTGGGGAACTGGAGGGACTGGTGGGCTGTGGGGCTGAGGGGACTGTGGAGACGGGAGGACTGGGGATGGGGGGGGGCTGAGGGGAATGCGAGACTGGGGCACTTGGAAGACTGAGGGGGCAGAGGGGACTTGAGCGACTGGGATTGAATGAAATAAGTTTCTAAAACATATTTTTTAAATTTATATTAAAAACCATTAAACATTAAATAAAAGTTGTATATTTTTAGTCAAATTTTAAAGCGTCTTCAAACATTTTATTGAATAACACATGTTAATGAATAAAGCATGTTATTGAATAACACATGTTAATGAATAAAGCATGTTATTGAATAACACATGTTAATGAATAAAGCATGTTATTGAATAACACATGTTAATGAATAAAGCATGTTATTGAATAACACATGTTAATGAATAAAGCATGTTATTGAATAACACATGTTAATGAATAAAGCATGTTATTCCATAAAAATATTTCAATAGCCTATAGAAACTCATTAACTTTCACTTAAACTTTAAATTAGATTTAGATATTCTCTATAACGGAACAGCTTCATCAAATACATTCCTAATTACTGTGGTTAATAAATACTCCCCCAATAATATACTTTAATATGTTGCATTGCGTTCCTAAACACTCCCCAATAATATAATTTCATATGTTGCATTGCGTTCCTAAACACTCCCCAATAATATACCTTCAAATGCAGCGTTGCTTTCTTTACACTCTCCTGTACTATAACTTTATCTGTGGCATTGCAATGCTTTTCTATACATTCCCCTGTACTATACCTTTATCTGTGGCATTGCAATGCTTTTCTATACATTCCCCTGTACTATACCTTTATCTGTGGCATGGCATTGCTTTTCTAAATATTTATTTTTATGTTGATCTCTGATTCAAGGCGTTCAGATATCGAATTCTAAATCAATACGATGAGTTATATGATTGGTTATTTTGTAAATTATCTTAAGGCCTCACATTTAACATTGCATGTGACCTCATCATAAGATCTTGATCTTTTTCGATATATCTCGTGCTTAAAAAAAATAATAAATCCGGGGTTAATATTTAAAAAAGTTGCACTCTCTAGTCATATGTCTGAGTAATTACTTTCATTGTCACAATTCTTTGTCGGTAAATCCGATCTTCAAATGCTATGAACAAGAAACCTTGCTTCTACGAGGACAGACTTCCTCATTTAAACAAACTCAAGATCGAGCGATAGAACTATTGCAATGTAATTATTTCGTAATTATTTCAATTTACTTACCTGAAAAAAAAAAAAACGAAGATCTGTAAGCGTGTATTCTTCATCTTGCAGGGACGCCAGCTCCACAAGTGTTGACCCTAGCACCCTTAGCCACGCCAGCACCTACACGTAAGTACGGCATGAAAATCTAAAACACCATCTTGACCTTTGAACCGAGTGACAAAACCAGTCTTTGTCTCGTCCTGGCGGCCATAAGGATGCCAATAGTATTGGTCAAGAATTCGTTTAAAAAAAAAAAATCATTGACAACGTTGTCTGAAAAAAAGAAGCCAAGCTGGCCACCGTAGAAAAAAATTACATTGCGGGAATCGTTTCTAGTGAGGAGATCACTGTTAAAATTCATCATCTTTGTCACGATACAATTTTTTTTTTTTTAAAGATAAACCATTTGTTCTATGGCTTTGAAAGGTAAGAATAAAATAAAATTACAGTTAAAAAATTTAGTGTAGAATCGAGTAAGAAAAAAAAAAAATTTTAAAATTCATCATCTTTGTCACGATACAATTTTTTTTTTTTTTTAAAGATAAACCATTTGTTCTATGGCTTTGAAAGGTAAGAATAAAATAAAATTACAGTTAAAAAATTTAGTGTAGAATCGAGTAAGAAAAAAAAAAAATTCGCGACATACGGCTAAATCTTTCTTTAGCTAAATCTAGCATATTATTCCAATGACATTGTGTTTTTTTTGTTTGTTTTTTTTTAAATCGGATCATTCAAAAAAATATTTTCAGCCAGGTTTTTTAAACTTTCCATTCTATGGATGCGACAATATGTGTGACTTCACTTTTAAATGTTTGATCTTTCACAGCTGTCACCTGCAGGACATGTGACGGAAATTGTGCAGGCGACGGGATCTATTCGAACTGCCCGACTGGATTCTGCTCTCTGACTATCGTCGACTCCAAAGATGGAAGTAGGTCATTTCGGAAAGGGTAAGACATTTAGGTTCATGTAATTCACACTTGATTAATAGCTATTTATATCTGTACATTACATATACGTTAATTACACAGCAGATTTTGCACAAAAGGAAACCAGTCCTCAATTAGTTGTTTACGCACATGGTATGCTCGTTTACTCAAAATTTTCATAGAGAGAGGGAGAGAGAGAGAGAGAGAGGGTGAAATAAAGAAAAAGAGAGAAAAATAGAGGGGGAGAGAAAGAGAGAAACATAAAGAGAGAAAGAAGGGGTAATGAGAGAGAAAAGAGAGAAAGAGAGCGAGAGAGAGAGAGAGGGCGAAATAAAGAAAAAAAGAGAAAGATGGAGAGGGGGGAGAAAGAGAGAGTTATAAAGAAAGAGAGAAGGATTAATGAGAAAGAAAAGAGAGAGAGGGTGAGAAACGCGAAATGCTATACAGGGTGGATGGGACTCATTAGCCTATCATGGCAAATCATCTAAGAGATTGCAAACACTGAATTCAAACTGGAGCCAGAATGATAAATACATTTATCTTTTGCCCGTAAAATATTTTTTTTAAAAAAAAGGTACACAAAATATGGACATTATTAAATGAAGCTTTCAGATTAAATTTTTCAGCGTACTCTTAACAAAACTGATATATATATTTATATATATATACTTACATATCTTCAGGTGCTCCACCCAAGATCAGTGTCAAAAGGACTGGCTAGACGGGTGGAGTAAGAATCCACTCTGTCTCGCTTACATTGCGAATCCCACCAAGGTATCCGGTCAGGATAACTCTTGCTCATTTTGCTGCACGAGTGACAACTGCAATGAACACATCGTCGACACGAGTGTGCTGTATGGTGTGCACATTTGAACTCGTGAGAACGTTTTGTGAACAGCCATTTAGGAAAATAACGACAAAACGGGACAATGACAAAATCATTTGTGTGTTATAAATTTAAAAAAAAAAGCGGGAAATTCTTCAGCTGTCAGAAACCAAATGGCGGCATTGTGTCAGAAAGCAAAATAAAAATTATTGGATGGCCACCTTGTTCTTTGTTATTTTGCATTTTAATTCTTTGAAATATTTTTAGTTGCCTACCTACTACATTTTTATAGTTTAAATATTTTTTTTTTTTGAGTTCAGTGTACCAAACCGAAGTTTATAAAGGCAATGACTAGCTTGGAACATGTCTTCTGGTAGATTTGTTCTTCCATTAGTCACATGCCATAGAGCGGCTAACATAGCTAATGATTATGTGATTCGTATTTAATGATTACATGATTCGTAGGTGATGATTATACGATTCAGAGTAAATGATTATAAGTTTCATAGTTAATGATTATAAGTCTTATAATTAATAATTATATGATTTATAGTTGATGATTACATGAGTCGTAGTTAATGATTATATGTTTCATAATAATGATTATTTTAAAGTTGGTGATCAAAGATTTATTGAAATAAGGCTTAAGGCTATTAAATCAGTTAATTTAAACAAAACAATGATATATATATTATCATAAAAATTATCATTATTTTTTTTTTATGGCATCCTTCGGTCTTCGTGAGACGATGGAGTAGTTATATAGTTCTACACTTTGACGAGTGGCTCACTAGGCCAATCCTTGAATGGCAATCACGGCCGCATCTCTCGCAGGAGAATATTGAAACCCGGTCAATTCTTGATTTTCGAATTGTTCGTTTTGATTCGAGGGCCTCTTTTCGAGTAACTTCTGCCTTTCTCACTACTCCAAACACTGCTGTACGCCAGTTGGAGCAATGTTCAGCAATGAACTCCCCTCTGCCAACTCTCCATACAGCAGAATCTTTGGGATACGTCCTTCCTCCATTCTCCATACATGGCCTACCCAGTGAAGGCGTCTCTTGATAAGAAAAGAGAATATGCTAAACATGTGTGCACGTTCCAAGACCTCCACGTTAGGCACCCTGTCCTGCCAACGAATGCGCAAAATGCGACGCAGACATCTTTGATGGAAGCTGTTGAGTTTCCGCTCCTGACTTGTATATGTGGTCCACACTTCGCTACCATATAGGAGCGTGCTAAGCACGCATGCCTGATATACACTTATTTTTGTTTTTATCAGTTAGATTGGGATTATTCCACACCCGCTTATTCAGTTTAGCCATAGTTGCTGCTGCTTTTGCAATCCTGGTATTGAGCTCTTCATCAACGGAGAGAGAACTAGAAAAATTGGATCCCAGGGATATGAAATGATCAACAACCGAAAGATTATGACCCTCAATGGATATGATTGGAGGGGACGGTGAGAGAGAGAGAGAGAGAGAAGGAGTGACAAAGAAAGAGAGAAAGAAATTTAAATCAAACAAATATTATCATCTTTATATATATATATATATATCTTTGTGATTTTTATTTTTTTCCATTCTAAACCCATAATTTTTGGAGAGACTAATGGGGATTCTCAGTAACATAACAATGGGGCTTAGTGATTTACAACATCCATTGGCTGCAAGCTTAAAGGAACAAAGTATTTTGTCTTTGAGAAAATTAACTAGTAATAAAATCAAAAGAAAATAGATTTCGATAAACAAAAAAAAAAAAACAAAAAAAAACCAGGAACATGATTTGCACTCGCTGGATTTTGGAGTTTTTATAATCCCAAAACGTCGTTAAGATTAAAAAAAAACAACAACTCATGACAGTACAAAAATTTTAATTTTTTAAAAGAACAAAGAATTTTTTCTTTAAAAAAAATAACTAAAAAAAAAAAAAAAAAAAAATAGATTTCAATAAAAAAAAAAAAAAAAACAAAAAAAAACCAGGAACATGATTTGCACTCGCTGGATGTTGGAGGTTGTATGATCCCAAGACGTCGTTAAGATTAAAAAAAAACAACAACTCGTGTCGGTTCAATAATTTTAACTTTCATGGCTAATACACTTGGGATTCTACGCTAAATTTGTCTAATACACATAGTAGTCCACGGCTAATTGTGTCTAATACACATAGTAGTCCAGGCTAATTTTTTTTTCTAATACACATAATATTTTGCGACTACATTGGTCTAATACACATAGAAGTATATGGCTAAATTTGTCTAATACACATGAGTAAACCATTAAATTTGTCTAATGCACATTGAAAAAAAAGCAAAATTTGTCTAATGCACATAGGAATAAAAGGATAAATTTGTCTAATGAACATAGGAATAAAAGACTACATTTTTATAATGCACATAAGAATAAATGGTTAAATTTCTCTAATGCACATAGGAATAAAATGACAAATTTGTCTAATATACAGGGGAATAAAAGGCTAAATTTGTCTAATGCACTTAGGAATAAAAGGCTAAATTTGTCTAATGCACAAAGGAATAAAAGGATACATTTTTCTAATGCACTTAGGAATAAAGGGATAAATTTGTCTAATGCAAGTAGGTATAAAAGGCAAAATTTGCCTAATGCACATAGAAATAAAAGGATAAATTTGTCTAATGCACATAGGAATAAAAGGATACATTTGTCTAATGCACATAGGAATAAAAGGCTAATTTTTTCTAATGCACATAGGAATAAAAGGATAAATTTGTCTAATACAATGAGGAATATGAGGCTAAATTTGTCTAATACACATAGTGATAAAAGGCTAAATTTTTCTAATGCATATAGGAATAAAAGGCTAAATTTGTCTAATGCACTTAGGATTAAAAGGATAATTTTGTCTAATGCACATAGGAATAGAAGGTTAAATTTGTCTAATACAATAAGGAATAAAAGTCTAAGATTGTCTAATGAACATGTGAATAAAAGGTTAAATTTTGCAAATGCATATAGGAATAAAAGGCTAAATTTGTCTAATGAACACAGGAATAAAAGGTTAAATTTGTCTAATGCACATAGGAATAAAAGGCAAAATTTGTCTAATTTACATAGGAATAAAATGCTAATTTTTTCACATGGGAAAAAAAGTCTAAATTTGTCTAATTCACATAGGAATAAAAGGTTAAATTTGTGTAATGCACTTAGGAATAAAAGGCTTATTTTGTGTAATGCACATATGAATAAATAGTTAAATTTGTGTAAGGCACTTAGGAATAAAAGTCTAAATTTGTCTAATGCACATACGAATAATGGCTAAATTTGTGTAAGGCACTTAGGAATAAAAGGCTAAATTTGTCTAATGCACTTAGGAATAAAAGGCTAATTTTGTCTAATGCACATAGGAATAAAAGGATAAATTTTTCTAATGCACTTAGGAATAAAAGGCTAATTTTGTCAAATGCACATAGGAATAAAAGGTTAAATTTGTGTAATGCACTTAGGAATAAAAGGCTAATTTTGTCTAATGCACATAGGAATAAAAGGCAAAATTTTTCTTATGTCTTATGGAATAAAAGGCTAAATTTGTCTAATGTACTTAGGAATGAAAAGCCAAATTTTCCAAATGCATATAGGAATAAAAGGCAAAAATTGTCTAATGAACGCAGGAACAAAAGGATAAAATTGTCTAATGCACATAGGAATAAAAGGCTAAGTTTGTCTAATGCACATAGGAATAAAAGGCAAAATTTGTCTAATGCACTTAGGAATAAAAGACTAATTTTGTCTAATGCACATAGGAATAAAACGCAAAATTTGTCTTATGTCTTAAGGAATAAAAGGCTAAATTTGTCTAATGTACTTAGAAATGAAAAGCCAAATTTTCCAAATGCATATAGGAATAAAAGGCTAAATTTGTCTAATGAACACAGGAACAAAAGGATAACATTGTCTAATGCACATAGGAATAAAAGGCACAATTTATCTAATGCACATAGGAACAAAAGGTTAAATTTGTCTAATGCACTTTGGAATAAAAGGCTAATTTTGTCTAATGCACATGGGAATAAAAGTCTAAATTTGTCTAATGCACATAGGAATAAAAGGTTAAAATTTTTCAATTGCACATAGGAATAAATGGCTAAATTTGTGTAAGGCACTTAGGAATAAAAGGCTAAATTTGTCTAATGTACTTAGGAATAAAAGGTTACATTTGTGTAAGGCACTTAAGAATAAAAGTCTAAATTTGTCTAATGCACATAGGAATAAATGGCTAAATTTAAGTAAGGCAATTAGGAATAAAAGGCTAAATTTGTCTAATGTACTTAGGAATGAAAAGCCAAATTTTCCAAATGCATATAGGAATAAAAGGCTAAATTTGTCTAATGAACACAGGAACAAAAGGATAAAATTGTCTAATGCACATAGGAATAAAAGGCACAATTTATCTAATGCACATAGGAATAAAAGGCTAAATTTGTCTAATACACTTAGGAATAAAATGCTAATTTTTTCTAAGGCACATGGGAATAAAAGTCTAAATTTGTCTAAACACATATGAATAAAAGGTTAAATTTGTCTAATGCACATAGGCATAAATGGCTAAATTTGTGTAATGCACTTAGGAATAAAAGGCTAAATTTGTCTTATGCACGTAGGAATAAAAGGTTAAATTTGTCTAATGCACATAGGAATAAAAGGTTAAATTTGTCTAATGCATATAGGAATAAATGGCTAAATTTGTCTAAGGCACTTAGGAAGAAAAGGCTAAATTTGTCTAATGCACTTAGGAATAAAAGGCTAATTTTGTCTAATGCACATAGGAATAAATAGTTAAATTTGTGTAAGGCACTTAGGAATAAAAGTCTAAATTTGTCTAATGCACATACGAATAATGGCTAAATTTGTGTAAGGCACTTAGGAATAAAAGGCTAAATTTGTCTAATGCACTTAGGAATAAAAGGCTAATTTTGTCTAATGCACATAGGAATAAAAGGATAAATTTGTCTAATGCACTTAGGAATAAAAGGCTAATTTTGTCAAATGCACATAGGAATAAAAGGTTAAATTTGTGTAATGCACTTAGGAATAAAAGGCTAATTTTGTCTAATGCACATAGGAATAAAAGGCAAAATTTGTCTTATGGAATAAAAGGCTAAATTTTTCTAATGCGCATAGGAATAAAAGGCTTAATTTGTCTAATGCATTGAGTAATAAAAGGCTAAATTTGTCTCATAAACTTAGGAATAAAAGGATACATTTGTCTAATGCACATAGGAATAAAAGGCTTAATTTGTCTAATGCATTGAGTAATAAAAGGCTAAATTTGTCTCATAAACTTAGGAATAAAAGGATACATTTGTCTAATGCCCATAGGAATAAAAGGCTAATTTTTTCTAATGCACATTGGAATAAAAGGATAAATTTGTCTAATGCACATAGAAAAAAAGCCTAAATTTGTCTAATGCACATATGAATAAAAGGCTATTTTTTTCCAATGCATATAGGAATAAAAGGCTAAATTTGTCTAATGAACACAGGAACAAAAGGATAAAATTGTCTAATGCACATAGGAATAAAAGACACAATTTGTCTAATGTACATTGCAATAAAAGGAAACATTTGTCTAATGCACATAAGAATAAAAGGCAAAATATGTCTAATGCACTAAGAATAAAAGGATACATTTGTCTAATGTACATGGGAATAAAAGGCTAAATTTGTCAAATTCATATAGGAATAAAAGGCTTAATTTGTCTGATTCAAAGAGGAATAAAAGGATAAATTTGTCTAATGCACATAGGAATAAAAGGCTAATTTTGTCTAATGCGAATAGGAATAAAAGCCTAAATTTTTCTAATGCACATAGGAATAAAAGGATGAATTTGTCTAATGCACAAAGGATTAAAATGCTAAATTTGTCTAATACAATGAGGAATATGAGGCTAAATTTTTCTAATACACATAGTAATAAAAGGCTAAATTTTTCTAATGCATATAGGAATAAAAGGCTAAATTTGTCTAATGCACTTAGGATTAAAAGGATAATTTTGTCTAATGCACATAGGAATAAATGGCTAAATTGGTCTATTGCACATAGGAATAAAAGGCTAAATTTGTCTAATGCACATAGGAATAAAAGGTTAAATTGGTCTATTGCACATAGGAATAAAAGGCTAAATTTGTCTAATGCACATATGAATAAAAGGCTAAATTTGTCTAATACAATGAGGAATAAACGGCAATTTGGTCTATTGCACATAGGAATAAAAGGCTAAATTTGTCTAATGCACATAGGAATAAAAGTTTAAATTTGTCTATTGCACATAGGAATAAAAGGTTAAATTTGTCTAATGCACATAGGAATAAAAGGCTAAATTTGTCTAATGCACATAGGAATAAAAGGCTAAATTGGTCTATTGCACATAGGAATAAAAGGCTAAATTTGTCTAATGCACATAGGAATAAAAGGTTAAATTTGTCTAATGCACATAGGAATAAAAGGCAAAATTTGTCTAATGCACATATGAATAAAATGCTAATTTTTTCTAAGGCACATGGGAATAAAAGTCTAAATTTGTCTATTGCACATAGGAATAAAAGGTTAAATTTGTGTAATGCACTTAGGAATAAAAGGCTAATTTTGTCTAATGCACATAGGAATAAATAGTTAAATTTGTGTAAGGCACTTAGGAATAAAAGTCTAAATTTGTCTAATGCACATACGAATAATGGCTAAATTTGTGTAAGGCACTTAGGAATAAAAGGCTAAATTTGTCTAATGCACTTAGGAATAAAAGGCTAATTTTGTCTAATGCACATAGGAATAAAAGGATAAATTTGTCTAATGCACTTAGGAATAAAAGGCTAATTTTGTCAAATGCACATAGGAATAAAAGGTTAAATTTGTGTAATGCACTTAGGAATAAAAGGCTAATTTTGTCTAATGCACATAGGAATAAAAGGCAAAATTTGTCTTATGTCTTATGGGATAAAAGGCTAAATTTTTCTAATGCGCATAGGAATAAAAGGCTTAATTTGTCTAATGCATTGAGTAATAAAAGGCTAAATTTGTCTCATAAACTTAGGAATAAAAGGATACATTTGTCTAATGCACATAGGAATAAAAGGCTAATTTTTTCTAATGCACATAGGAATAAAAGGATAAATTTGTCTAATACACATAGGAATAAAAGGCTAAATTTGTCTAATGCACTTAGGAATAAAAGGCTTAATTTGTCTAATGCGCATAGAAATAAAAGGCTAAATTAATTTTCATGCACAAAGCAATAAAAGGCTAAATTTGTCTGATGCACTTAGGAATAAAAGGCTAAATTTCTCTAATACACATAGAAATAAAAGGCTAAATTTTTCTAATGCACATAGGAATAAAAGGCTAAATTTGTCTAATGCACATAGGATTAAAAGGATAAATTTGTCTAATGCACATAGGAATAAAAGTTTAAATTTGTCAAATGCACACAGGAATAAAAGGTTGAATTTTTCTAATGTAAATAGGAATAAAAGGCTAAATCTGTCTAATGTACATAGGAATAAAAGGCTAAATTTGTCTAATGCTCTTAGGAATAAAAGGCTAATTTTGTCTAATGCGCATAGAAATAAAAGGCTTAATTTGTCTAATGCAAATAACAATAAAAGGCTACATTTGTCTAATGCATAGTGGAATAAAATGCTAAATTTGTCTAATGCACATATGAATAAAAGGCTAAATTTGTCTAATGCAAATTGGAATAAAAGGCTAAATTTGTCTAATGCACATATGAATAAAGGGATAAATTTGTCTAATGCATATTGTAATAAAAGGTTAAATTTGTCTAATGCACATATGAATAAAAGGCTAAATTTGTCTAATGCATATTGGAATAAAAGGCTAAATTTGTCTAATACACGTATAAAGGATAATAACCTAAACCCTAACATTTGGTACGACTTAAAAAATAAAGGTATTGAAATGTGTTTTAACTGTTTTTCAGATTTCGTTGCTCTTCTCCAACTTGCATGACTAAAAAAAAAAAGGGGGGGGATGGCGGGGGAAAACAATCGTTAAGAATGTTTTAATTACAAGAAAAATNGTTAAGAATGTTTTAATTCCAAGAAAAATTATCAAATATGGAATACATTAAAATATACTTGACAAAAGAGATTGCACTGAATCTATATTTCTTTGCAAAATTCTCATGTAGTTTTTAAAATTCATGTCAGTAAAATTGTTTCATATATGAATTGTAATCAAGGAAGATAAAACGATACTTTTTTAAAAAAAACTAGACGTCATGGGGCTATTCACTAATTTTGAAAATAGTTTTTTTTTTTAAAAACTTTAATACACTGACCTAAATAGTGGTATTACCAAAAGGCCAGATGCTCGTTAAAATTGCTTCCCTGCAGATAGGAAATCTTATCTCAGTCGTGTCATAACAGTTGTCACAGAGTGTCAAAACAAAAACTTGATACGAAATAAAACAAAACACTTAACTTCCATGACTTTTTCCAAGTCTTTTGTTGTTTTTTTAAAGTTTTTTTTTAAAACAAAAAATATCCTTCAATAAAAACAAATATTATTAATAGGTTGTTAAAAAGAACTCACAAGAAAAACTTGAAAAAAACTAGACACATGGCTACACTCTTTCAGGTATTTGAAAATCAAAAGAAAGCGTAAAATATTTTTTTAAAGTAAACTAATGAAAAGATGTGTGCCAGTGCTAAAAAATGTAATCAATACAAAATACCCGCATGCACATTTGTTGGTTAAATTTTTTTTTTGTGTGTTTCAATATTGTTTTTAATTTAACAAATTCATACACGACTTCTCATTACCAACAAACCATTTTTTTTTTAAAACAGCTGTGTTGCAACAGTCATGAACTTTAGTTCAGCTACGCCTATCCGTCAATCATGTCTGTGCAGTCAGCGCCTACTGTGCTTGCCTAAAACCTTTTCTCGTCCTAACAAAAAAAAATAGGAGCACTATATCCAGTATATTTGTTTTTGTGTTAACTTACGTAATCAGATGAGTGGATTTCCTGACAAACTTGTATTTTGATAGCGCCCCCCCCCCAACCCCAAGCCACCATTTGATAAAAGTACTCTTTGGAGCTTGAGACTACGATTTTGAGACCTGAAAACTAAGCTGACACTGACCCGGGGGCTAAGTAGGTCCGAGACCATCGTTTGTGTGTTTCACATTTCAAATGGAATCATGGAGGTCATAGGCCAGTCAGCTGATACCGCAATCAGACTTTTTTTCAATGAATACGCTTTTTATAATGAGTTTGGTTTTCTGTTAACTGTTGTTTTTTAAAAATCTGACACGCTGCAACGAAATAATCACATGGGGTAATTTTTTTGTTAAATCCACGTTACGGACCGTGTTTCTGAATGTGTGAGAATCCATGTTCATCTGATAAGACACCAATCTTGAAATTTTCTACAGTAAGCTTGTTGCCATTCTTGTTCTGGGATAGGGCATGCCAACTAAGATGAGATGAAATGACTTCCAACATGAAGTTCTTAACGTTGGCGTTCATTTTGTGGCTAGGTGAGTTTTTGATCACTTGGGCAACACACGCATCAGCCTACTGTGATACACAGGGCCTCGTGTTGGTGATATATTGACTACAGACCATTGGTGTGATGGACTCGTCCTTTCTGTCTTGTTGGCCTTCGCTGATACACAGGGCCCTGTGTTGGTGATATATTGACTACAAACCATTGGTGTGATGGACTCGTCCTTTCTGTCTTCTTGGCCTTCGCTGACACACAGGGCCTTGTGTTGGTGATATATTGACTACAGACCATTGGTGTGATGGACTCGTCCTTTCTGTCTTGTTGGCCTTCGCTTATACACAGGGCCTCGAGTTGGTTATATATTGTCAACAGACGATTTATGGGAGGGACGCGTTCTTTCTTTCTTGTTGGTAATATGTAACCTGATTCAACTTCAGAATTTTGTCAGAGGAAAATAATTTATTAAACTTGAAGTATTACCTGTATACAATGTGGTTTTTGAAAATTTCCGAGTAGAAGGCTTTTTAACCTATCCTAGCGTCACATTTTAACATTATCCTAGAGTCATCTTTTAACATGATCCAGTGACATCTTTTAAAATTATACTAGCGTCGACTTTTAACATTATCCTAGCGTAGCGTTTTATCGTTATCCTTTTGGCTTATATTCTAAAGCAAAGATGGCGAAACTTTAGAGATTCAATGGCCGAATTGCAACTGAAAAAACCCTTTATTTATTCAAATGGCAACCCTATATCCTATTATTTATTCAAATTGCAAACCAAATCCCATCATTTAGTCGAATTCATTCCAAAACCCCATTATTTATTCAAATTGAAAACAATTTCACCCAATCGTAAATACTAGAATTCTTGTTAATTAAAAAAAGCCAGTAAGAACTCATACTTGTATGTAAACGAAAGGGTCATGGGTGCCCGCTGCGACAAGCGTGCCATAAGTTTGCAACCACTGTCCCTGGGATCTGTCGTTTCTCCCATGATAGGGATACAGAAGTCATTAACAAAAAATCCCTTTACAACCTTATTCTATACCGTTTCCATGTAATCTTTAACTTCTGATGTTATTTCGGGACTATTGCATTGTCTTTTTCGCCCTTCACCCTAGATAAGTTTCGTTTCTTAAGCCTGCTTACTGACATAATGGTCATTTTTTAAATATGGGCAATTGTTATAACTGTAATAATGGAAATAGCTTCACAGACAGTCAGCTGCATCTCTCGCTGAAAATTATAATTATATATATGCAGCTTTGAGGTTCGATTGTTCTTAGACAAATCAGTTCGTTTTGGGGCCCAAGAATTGTAGTGATAGGAGCCGGGAAGACATGAACGATAAAACACATTGCAAGTTGGTATGCCCAACCCCCCGGGTTTACATAAGTGTATAGGATGGCTTGAACAGAGCCTCTGAGCCAACGCCATCTATTGGCAGACACCATAACCGTTATCCCGTCATCACACAGACATTTTCAGGGATAAGTTCATCAGTGGTCCTCGTTAGTGAGCTTGCTAAATATGACCCAAAATGTCACACCCTGCCCTGCTTAGCTTGTTTTTGTTTTTTTTAATTGTTTTTTTTGTGTGAATAAGATGTAAAATTTGAGATGTAAAACTTGAAAAATAAAATATATTCAAACAAATATTCATTTTTTAAAACATATTTGAGAGATATTTTTTTTAATCACAAAATTTGGCTATTTCAAATTTAATATCTTTTGAGACGAATTTTGAGATCCTGCCCTATTTCTTCCGACAGACGTGGGCGCAGGTCAGATTCATATCATTCTCAGCCCCCTGTTGTCTGTGGATTGCTTCCACTGTGACAGTCATTCTCGCCATTTCCCAGGATGCCTCAGTGAGACCTTCACCTGCCAAGCAGACGAGGTGAGATCGAAGTCGTTATTTATTTTGAAACTCATTTCTTTATTAAACGGCCAATTTAAAAAAAAATAAGGATCTGTTCAATGTTTTCACAGTAACTTGTCTAATATTGACAACATAGCTGTAGTATCCATAAACAATATATATATATATTTATATCAATAAAAGTACCAGAAGTACAGAATGCGCCGAAAGTTACAGCGCTGAAAATTAAGCGAAGTTCAATACGTCCCTCTTGTCATCTTTTAAAAGAAACCAACATGTACACTATTAGCGTGTTGCTTTCACACGGTATGTACGTAAATGTCCACTTTGTGTACCACCTCGCTGTAGGCAGGGTTCACATCGATTGCCTAGATTCTCTAACATATCACCAAACAATGGTTGTAGCTGCAGACTCCTGCTAAAGGAGAGTATTCTCTAGCGTGATGTTAAGCACAGTTCTGGGCGTATCACACTCACCTTCAGCACTCCCCAAAAATTAGGCATCGGATGGCGTAAAATCAAGGGCGTCACACGGGCATGGGAAGTCAGTCCCACGTGGATTGATTTGACCTGGGAAGTTTTTCTGCAGCATGACAATAGATTCCAGAGTAGTGTGGCTTGTCGCCCGTCTTATTAATACCACTGTCTATTACTGTAAATATTCCTTGCACTATAGAAACCTCTCAAATTCTGAAGAGATGTTTCAATCACCATGCCACTCCAGCGTTTATGAGTGAGGGTAAGAGCATTGCTTTCCTCATCCTCAATGAACATAGGGGCCTAATGTACTGTGTGCTGAAACGGCACACCTGATCGTCACACGTGCATTGTATGGTGGCTTTGGACGATACCATTTGACCCATCAGCACCAAAGAAGCGAGTTTTTTGGTGATGTAGCAATCTAGTGAATGGGACGTTCGTCTGAGAGCCTCAACTTCTCAAAATAATACATGGATCATCGTAAACCATGGTCAAAAGTACTGTACGGTACATCATTCTGACTATGTCGAGCGTTGTTCAATGTGTATCCGGTAAGCAAATCTTTGTCCTTAGACAAACTTTGAACGTACACCATCTGATGTTCTGTTTCAAAGATGTTCGTTGGTCTTGATAGATACGAATGTAGAGTCTGCTACAGCACACATGCGTGATTCTCATTGGTCGAAACAGTTACCGACCAGTCTTGCCCTTCCGTCTAGCCATTAAATTTCCTGCACGGGGACATCTCTTAACCAAAGATGGCATAACCATGTAACTTGGCGCCTTGTTAATAAATCTCTCTCGGAATTATTGTACCACATTTTTCAAACTCAAGCCCTCTTCACAAACAGTTCCTAATAAACTAAAGTGGTGCCCAGCTATAAAAAAAAAATATGGGTTCCTTTGTGGTGAGACTATTTTCCAACAAAACTGCCTAACACAACCTCATTTGATTCCTCAGGGTCACGTGGCGTCTGTGGGTGTGCACCGTTGACAAACGCGTGTACTTGTTCAAGATGCGTCAGTTTCAGGGCAGTTACTAAAAAAAAACCTTTTAATTCCAACTCATCAGCGTTAAAATTCTACTTCACTCCACAAACTTAGTTCATCTATCGTGATGAAAATGCATTGAAGTATTTACATTTGCGGGAAACATGATATCACCTGCACATTTTTTGAAAGCGATCTACATTTGAGGGCCCACGATCACTTTATTGATCATTCTGGCTCCTGGTTTGAAATGCAGACTTTACTTTCTCTTAGATGAGTTGACATCCGATCGGCCACCCAGCCTCTCCCCCCCACCCTGCAGCTGACCATGGCTTGTCAGAAGAGTATGCCGATGAGGGATATTAAAAATCGCTGCTACCTGTCTGCTTTGTCGCAGATCTTATTATTAATTTTAGGACATGACAATGAAATCATAATGCTCATAAGTTTGTTTGTTTTGGTTTTTTAGTCTTTTTTTAAAAAAAATTATTAATAAAAAAAAATTGTGATTAATTTATTCAACATAAATAGCACATCCTATTTTTTATATTAATCCATTGATTTATGAAAGCTTTTCACTTGATATTTCTTGTTACAATACCACAGGTGTGCTCGATTACCTATGGCAATACCTTACCGTCTTTAAAGTGCCAGAAGATTAACGTAAGTAACTTGCATTGTAAAACTGGAATGGACACACATCTCTCTGCGCATGTGACATGGCGCGCGTCAGTAGCCACTTTCAAATTCATCTTTATCTTTTCAAGATAGACAACAATGGTGCGATGCTCACCATCCTCAAAGATTTTCAGACGATTTTTGAGATATCATAATTTATACGGAAAATAACGTCAAATAGTTTGGTTGTTTTTTTTTAAGGAAATAGTAACTTTACATGAAACGTGTTCCTAAAAACTTGTTGCTTTAATCCTTTCAACCATGAGACAAGTATTTAGGAGTCGCAGTCATTTGTAGAAATATTTCTTTTGATTAATTTGTTAGTTGAATTTTGAGATACAATTTTTTTTTTAAAAGTGAACAAAGTTTGTTTATTTCTAAAAAAATATTGCTAGCGACTCAATGCAATGAGTGGATGTGCTGTAGTCTGAGAATTTTTGTGTGTGACTTTTCTTATTCATGAACACTTGGAGGAAGTAAAATTTTCCAACTTCTAATTCCTTTTTTTTTCCGTTTCGTGTATTTGAATTCGACTTGTTCCTCTAAAGGACTGCACCCGTGAGGTGTCCCATCCCACTGGACATTGCGTCGGAGGTGGTGTAGAAGTCCGTCCCGGCCAGTGTGAAATCTGCTGCCTCACAACAGCCTGTGTGAATAACGTCAATCTTCTCCTACTGCAAGAATTCCGTACGTAACAATGCATAGTACTTTTAGCCGTAATACAAATATTGTTTGTCTAGATTTGTTTGTTGCTTGTATGTTAATTCATGTTGTCAAAATTGTCTGTGTTTTTAATGTCTTGTTTGATAAACTTGTCAATTTGGTGCGTCCGTTACGAAATGTTTAAATAAGTCTCGCAACACGTAAGAACTGTTTTGCTTCACTTGCTTGCTTCAGACTTCACGATAGCTTGAAAATATCTAGCTTAGCTTACATGTTTTAACAATGGAAATAGCTTTATGACACATTTATTATAAATTTAAACGCCCCCAACAGCCCATCATGGAATATTCTGTCCCGGTATTTGTTCAGAAAGGGACATAGCCACGTGTGTTAAGACGGCTGCATATTGTCATACAGACCAGGTGGGTGGATTATCGAATTTTGGTAATAAAATTTATATTTTAACATTTTGGTATAAAAATTTATATTTTAACACTTTGGTAATAAAATTTATGTTTAAGCAGCAATGTTAAAATGATGCAGTCTGTCTGAATAATACAAGGCGCAAATGAGGGGCTCTAATATTTATTCAGTGTACTGTAGGAAGACCTTATTGCCAGACTGCAGTTGAAAACTTATTTACAAATATAAAACTTTAGTCGGGTGTGCGTAAAATGTTGTCATTATAGTTAGATTGAAAACGGCTAATTTCCAATTTTATTTTGAAATGAAACAATAGTTTAAAAATAGTACATCCATGGTGACATGTGGATGCATGTTAGAATTTCTACTTTTCAAACTCCTAATGCAGGCTACTTTATAAATCCATTTAATGCAACCACGAATATCAACTGCTATTGCTAACTTCCTCAGTACTGTGAGGTTGGCATCAATGAGCTGCTGGTGGTCCATGGACAGTGTAAACCCAAGCACGACATTCAGGTATTCTGGTTGGGGATTCTCGTTGCTTCTTACACGTTCACTATTTGAAGTTGCGATGTGGCCAATGCGGTGCACGATATTCAGGTGTAATGGTTGGAGATTCATATTGATTCTTATAAGGTTCACTATTTGAAGTTGCGATGTGGCCAATGCCGTGCACGCCATTCAGGTGTAATGGTTGGAGATTCATATTGATTCTTATAAGGTTCACTATTTGAAGTTGCGATGTGGCCAATGCGGTGCACGCCATTCAGGTGTAATGGTTGGAGATTCATATTGATTCTTATAAGGTTCACTATTTGAAGTTGCGATGTGCGCAATACGGCGCATGAAATAGAGCGGGATGAAAAACATCGGAGGCTGGTCTTGTTCAGAATAATGCCACGATGTTTAATCATCTTTCTCCATGTCTCATCTTCGCTTGACATACATTTCGTGTTGGCATGTTCGTATCTTAATCGAACATCTACATTCTACATTATCCTCATAGAACATTTACATTTTCTTTATGGAACACTACATTATTTTTATGGAATATCTACATTATCTCTATGAAACATCTACATTATATTTATGGAACATCTACATTATCTTTATGGAACATTTACATTATCTCTTTGGAACATCTACATTATCTTTATGGAACATCTACATTATCTTTATGGAACATCTACATTATCTCTTTGGAACATCTACATTATCTTTATGGAAATCTACATATCTTTATGGAACATCTACATTATCGCTTTGGAAAATCTACATTATCTCTTTGGAAATCTACATTATCTCTATGGAACATCTACATTATCTTTATGGAACATCTACATTATCTTTATGGAAATCTACATTATCTTTTTGGAACATCTACACTATATTTATGGAACGTCTACTTTATCTTTATGGAACATCTACATTATCTTTATGGAACATCTACATTATCTTTATGGAACATCTACATTATCATGAATAAACATCTACATTATCTTGAAGCTAGGGGTCAGGGGGCGCTAAATCGTCCCAAGTAATCCTGCTAATGATGCTTCCCTTTTAAAATGTGATCAAATTCCCAATGTCGGTACTTCCTATGCTGGTTTGATAACGATTTGATAACTCAAGCAAAAAACATTACTCCGCTACTATCCCCACTCCAGCTAGCACCCAATGCCCTTTGGTGAAGTAGAACACTTGTATTAGTGGTAAAGTAAAACCCTGGTATTTTTTTTTTTAGTGAAGTAGAACGCTTGTATTTGTAGAGAAATGAAATTCTGGTGTTTGTATTGAAGCAGAACTCGGGTATTTGTAATGAAGTAGAACGTTGGTATTTGTACTTCACTGGAGCGCTGGTATTTGTAGTGAAGTAGAACGCTTGTATTTGCCGTGACGTAGAACGCTGGTATTTGCCGTGAAGTAGAACGCTGGTATTTGCCGTGAAGTAGAACGCTGGTATTTGTAGTGAAGTAGAACGCTGGTATTTGCCGTGAAGTAGAACGCTGGTATTTGCCGTGAAGTAGAACGCTGGTATTTGCCGTGAAGTATTGGTATTTGTCGTGAAGTAGAACGCTGGTATTTGTAGTGAAGTAGAACGCTGGTATTTGTAGTGAAGTAGAACGCTGGTATTTGTAGTGAAGTAGAACGCTGGTATTTGCCGTGAAGTAGAACGCTGGTATTTGCCGTGAAGTAGAACGCTGGTATTTGCCGTGAAGTAGAACGCTGGTATTTGCCGTGACGTAGAACGCTGGTATTTGCCGTGAAGTAGAACGCTGGTATTTGCCGTGACGTAGAATGTTGGTATTTGCACTTAACTGGAGCGCTGCTATTTGTAGTGAAGTAGAATGTTGGTATTTGTACTTAACTGGAACGCTGGTATTTGTAGTGAAGTAGAACGTTGGTATTTGTACTTCACTGGAGCGCTGGTATTTGTAGTGAAGTAGAACGTTGGTATTTGTACTTAACTGGAACGCTGGTATTTGTAGTGAAGTAGAATTTTGGTATTTGTACTTAGCTGGAACGCTGGTATTTGTAGTGAAGGTAGAATGTTGGTATTTGTGCTTAACTGGAACGCTGGTATTTTTAGTGAAGTAGAATGCTGGTATTTGTAATGAAACAGACTTTGATTCACCTGCGTCCACAATTATGGTATCACTTGCTTGCTTGTCCAAACCAATGTAATTTATTTCCAAGAAACTATTTTGATACGCCAAAATGATTTTGAGCTATTGGCAAATAATTAATTACACTAAAGTGTGAAACACGATGAAGTTAAATGGACAGGTGGTAGATTACTTATAAGATAGTTCATTAGTGAGATTGATTACCAAATAAGGACATTCTTTTTGGAAAGAAGACCAATCAACAATTACAAACTACTGTAATGTGTCGTTCACAATGATGAAAAAAAGAAATGTACTTTTTAGTGTGTATTTAATAAATTTAACGACTTTGCTAGATAGATCTATATCAATATGACAGTAATGTTATTTTTTCAAATGCTTTGTAATTTTAACTTATTTTTTTTTTTTAGCTATGTTACAGTGACAAAGTTCGACACCCCTGCCCTCTAGCCATTGGTCAAGCTGGACACACGGCTAGATGTGTCTGGGACTGCTGTCTGACAATCGATTGCCTGATTGGACACTTTGGCGCCTACATGGGTAAAATAAACATTTGTATTTTCGCGAAGCCTTATTAAAGAAATGTTTAGTTGTTTGGTTCCGATGTTAAAACAATATTATCGATTTTCACTATGAATATTTACAATGTATTATTTTAAGGATGGTGTTAAGGGAAAATGGGTCGCAAAACGAGCGCAAGCTTTTTTTCCACGCGTGACGTCTTAAGACCTTCACGTCCGGGTCAAGGATGGTGGGATGACACTAACACTCAAAGTATCGTGGTGGACCGCGTCTGCTTCGCGATTTGATGGATTTGGGGGAGGGGGTGGGGGTTGGCGTGTGATCTCAGATCTACTTTCTATATTTAGTTTTATACCTAGGTAAGGATTAGATCCACTTCAAATAGGATGATGTAAGCTAAGCATTCGATGCTTTAAAAAAAAAGTAATCGATAACACCCTCGTCGATTATTTAAAGATTAAAGTTTAATAATAATGGAATGTAGTAAATAAAAAAAAAAAGAATTGGTTATTTTTTATTACTAAATCTGTAATCTTTAAATGATTGATACAAGGAGAACTATTTCCTTTTTTTGAAACATCGAATGCTAACAAAAATCTCCGTTAAAGGGACATAACTCTTTACCTTAGCATGAAACTATATTAAAAAAAGTATTTATTTTTATAAATAGCATTTGTTCTTCTTGAGGCATATTTTACCAGTTACACATTTTCTAAAGAAGTTATGTTACTAATTTTTTTTTTAAATTCTTGATTAAGGTAATTTAAAAAAAAAAAAATTTAAAGTTCCTTATATTACTAGATAATGGGGGAATTTTAAACAAAAATACTATATAGATGTTAAATAACTTTTGCCAATAAATAATTGAATGCACCATATCTTGTATATCTCATTGCTATTCCTAAAATCATTTGGGTATCATTACCAACCGGTGCAAGTTGAGCCTTGAAGTCTAGTCTTGTACCCTGCCAGTGTTCCATCAATGAGTGTTTTCAAATGGTTTTGTCTTTGCCAAGAACTATGCTGCTTATACGGCTTTAAAACAAAATCCGCTGTTTTAGCCACTTAACCATGGATTTTAATATTTGAGCTAGTTATAAATAAAAGATTTTGCTATTATAATTTAGCACCCCCCCAAAAAAAAAGTGCAGTCTGGCAATCAAAATAGCGGTCGTTTTTTAAAAAAAAATATATATATACCGCTGCGACAAAATCATAGAAAATAAAACAGAACACAATTGAATGACAAAGTTGGCACATTTAACAAAGCAGGTATGGTAGTATGAATAAGAAATTTCATGGACCAGATACAGTGGCAATATGCAGAAATTTAATCAAGAATACAGGATAATATGCATACATTTAATCAACAGGATACCCTAGCAATACACTGTAGCAGACATTTCAATAAATACATTTTTTTTTCTGCTGTTCAGGTTTTAGTACCCATAGTCAAACGACAGTACATTCCCTAATTACTACACCAAAACCTACGACACCAGCACCTACTACACCAATACCAACTACACCAAAACCAACGACACCAGCACCAACTACACCAAAACCAACAACACCAGCACCAACTACACCAATGCCAACTACACCAGCACCGACTACACCAGCACCCACTACACCAGCACCGACCACACCAGCACCGACTACACCAGCACCGACTACACCAGCACCGACTACACCGAAACCAACTACACAAGCACCAACTACAGCAGCACCGACTACAACAGCCCCGGCATCTTCCACAGCCAAAATAGGTAAGCTACTCAGTCTTAAAGATCCAACGGTGCGACCAGAAGAGATCAAAGCCCTAAGCTATTGATATATCATGCAATCGTTACAGAAGTTTCAAAAGTTTGTTTTTTTTCCCGCATGGACAAAGTAAGTTTTGAGAAGAAGAATTTGAAAAAAAATTACATTTCTCTGCTTCTATGTTTAAACAGAGCAAAACAAGAAAAAATAATTTTAAAAGAAAAAAAAATCAAAACTCTACTGGAATGTTTCGTTTTTTGTTGTTGTTTTTTTCAAATCTGGTATTTTATTTATTTATTATTTTTGTCTGGGGATAAATTATATTAAAAAAAAAATTTCAAGGAAAGCATAAAAATGTTTAGTCAATACAAAAAATTTTCAGTACGATATTGAACTATTATATTAACCCCCTGCATTCTATTAAATTGTTGCGTTTACTACGCTGAATCCTGAAATGATACTTACAGCAAAACAGAGAATTATTTAATGGTAATAACTCAAGCATCTGTATCGCAACAAAGATTTTAAAAGATCGAATATTTTTGTCCGATGTTTGAACTAACAGGTTCTAATACACAGTTGCTAATAACCATGTTTTTATGTTAAAATGTTGACATTCAACAGATGAACCTCTCACTTGTGTCAAATGTGACGGGACTTGCAGAGGAAACGAGTTTGACGTCACGTGTCCCGATGGCTTCTGCTCGCTGACTCTGCAAGACGACATGGGTGGAAACAGAATAATTAAAAAAGGGTGAGACGCAGTGGAAGGCAATGGTGGATGCAAGTGTGACGTAGGGGCTAAGAGCAATGACTAACACTGTACTTAATCATTTCAAAATTTTGGCTACAAAAAACAAAAACAAACGTGAAGCAGCACATCGCGACACCCTGTAATGATCACTGTGGTGTAGGCCTATTGACAAACCGCGACACACTGGCTGTAATAATCACTGTGGTGTAGGCCTATTGACACATCGCGACACTATGGCTGTAACGATGTTGGGGTGTAGGCCTATTGACACATCGCGACACGCTGGCTGTAACAATCGCTATGGTGTAGGCCTATAGGCACATCGCGACACACTTGCTGAAAAGGTCGCTGAGTGTAGGCCTATTGACACACCGTGACACCCTGGCAAAAACGCTGAAGTGCAGCGTACGTTTATTTCAAAGTTGTTTTGGAAAATCTTTTTAAAGACCTGAAATATAAGACACTAGATAGATATAGTCCGCCAAACATTGGCGACAGCAATGCGTGGACTTCCCATCTACTAAAGTTACGTGACAAAAACGTTAACTCAAGCTATGCACATTTAAGAATGCCAATTTTGCTACAACCCTTAACCTCCCCCCCCCCATTTTTTCTTCATGATACGTCACTGCACACTTTTTATTTTTCGCCCACGAACTATATAAATGTATCCGACCCGCGGCTTAGCATATTCCGCAAGATTGTTGGAGTGTGCGCATTGCTGGCAAGCAAGGGTGGTGAAGGAAGGGGCAGTAGCTCCACTGCAGTGCGAATGTCATGAGATCAACGATGGGCAGGCAAGGGAAGTGAGGGCAGGGTTTGCCTACGTTTTGCTTATTCTGGCTTATCTATATATAGACTGCGTCGTCGTCTTCTTGCTTCTTGCCTTAGTTTCGCTGGCGAATTATATATATATATATATATAGATACTCATTTTAATGGAGACGTGTAACAAATTGTTGAAAACCAAATCTATAAATTATTAAACATTTACGTCGTCAATATAAATAAACTTATCTAGCTGATGTGTGTAATTAAAAGAAATTCTGCTGATTGATTTTCTCATACAGACAATTTAAAAAAAAATGAATTCTATTGCGAGATTTTAGCCATTATGAGGCATGTTCGTGTGTTAGATTATTAGTAAGTTTTATTAAAACTATTAAAATATACTACATTGCTCTTGAATATTACATTTGAGTAAAAAAAAAAAAGGTTAAATCCTCAATTCTGACATTCTTCCAATCAGCCCATCTTCCATTTTCCTCAACTTCCGTTCTGCCCATCTTCCATTTAGCCCATCTTTCTATCCATCTTCCATTAATCCCATCTGTTGGTCTCTGTTAAGACACAACTCAATTTAAAGAGATTATTAAGCATAAACATATATTTGAGTGATAGGAAAGTATGACGCCCTGTTACAGACCAATTTAAAACATGTCTTATCCATGTATATTTTCTTTTCTTTCATCAGATGTTCAAACCAAAACAAGTGCATGATGTTTTGGATGGAGTGGAATTCCGATCAATTGTGCCAGAACATCATCGGAAATCCTGGGAACCCGTCCTATCAAGACGTGTCTTGTACATTTTGCTGCACGGGAGAACGCTGCAACGCCGACTTTACTCAGATGAACGTGTTTCGTGGTGTTCGAAAATAATCTTTAAAATAATCATGATTTAATAAAATTGTTCTGAAGAATTTGTCTTCATACCAACATTTTAATATTTATATATATATATATACCACTGCTTCAAATTTGGACTCTCTGTAATGTCGAAAAGCAAAAATTTCAAATCGGTGTTAATGAGACAGAAAGAAATTTGCATATTTCTTCTAGCCAAAAGAATATCATTTCTAAATTTTAATTTATTTGTATTTTTTATCTTTTCTTTCAGAGACTAGAAAACATTAAAAAAAAAGTACTTAGGTCTTTCTATATTTAGTGTATATAACATATTTCGATGAGATGAACTTAACTTTATATCAAAATGAATGTATGCATGTATGTCTCGTATGCGCTACTACACCATTACTACACGATTGCAATAAAACTTTGGTGAGTTCTTATGCGCATGCCCGCAATGGTTTCTATATTGTTTAAAATATTCCGTCTTGAGCCAGGAACCCAACTTTCCTTTTATTCTATAGGAACTATATAAATAAAAATTCAAAAAGAGGTAATGAATTGGTGGATGGAATCAAATCAAATACAAATTAGCCCAATTTCAGTTTGTGTGTGACATGATAATTAGGGATCTTAATTAAAACAAACATTCTGCAATATTCCGTTTTATGGCCGGTGGCCCCACATTCGTTTTTTTCCCCTTATATTAGCAATATAAATATCATTTTCGTATGCTTTCCTATACCATTCATCTGATTGACACAAAACTTTGTTGACTTGATATGCGCCTGTCCACAATGATTTCTACATTGGAACAACCATTTAATAATATTTCTTTTGGGGCCGGGGGACCCAAAATTTGATTTATTTAAAATATAAATATAATTAATTTCAAAAAGATCGATTGGATAGATAGATGGAGTTTAATCAAATGCAAAGAGCGACAGAGCCATCAACACAACGAAATTCGGTTGTTCAGAACGTCCCTTGAACAAATACCAACTGACTCCAAATTTTTAGTATGAACAGAGAAACCACGTTCGCACGTGTTTAGTGCAAAGAGTATTTTGTTTTAAAAATAAACTTGAATTTTGTGTCGTTTTTGAGATTCGGAAATGGCTTTGTGAAAGTGTTAAGGTTTTGTAAGGAAGTGATGGCGTATTTCAATAATGGAGTGTTTGAACTTTGGATTAGTTTTGTTTTCTAAATAGACAATATACATTAATCGATGGTTTGACAAGTAAGTAAATTACACACTAGACAACGAATGTATTAACTATGGTAATATCGAGATTTTGTCACTAGAGTTTGTGATTTATAACGTCATGTAACCCCTATACAAATGGAATTCTACTGCCATCAATAAACATACCTTTTGCGGGAGATTTTCAAGAGATAAGTAGGAAGAACCTAACATGAGGAAACTATTAACGTTAGGAATATTTTAAAAGAATTGAATTGAATCATATACAAACAGCACCGTTTCAGTTTGTGTGTGATGAAGGAAGTGGTGTTACTTGTGACATTCACATTGTCGATCAACATCTAATAAAAGGTATCACATGCTTTTGTAATATTCGTCCCAAAGCAGAACTTTCACTGTCAAATCAATAATGCCACCCAAACTAAAAGCTATTGGTCTTTCTTCACCTCAAGCATAAAAGGCAAAATAATCACGACCTTTAGAAACAGTCGAGAAACTGGAAGCAAGAAGGAAAACCGTTTGAGTACGCAAAGCTCAAACCGGTTCGTCTAAAATAGTCGGTTAACGGGAAGCAAGACTGGATACCGATAGAGTACGCACTGCTTGATCTAGACAAACATTGCACGCTGAATTAAGTCTTAGTGTATTCCATTATGATGCTAATTATTATTACACTCTTCATCCAAGTGTCGTTATTGGAAAAATGGATCAATTATGCATGTAATGAAGTGCCAGCAAATTTAAGAATGAAACAGCGGGAATTAGCTGCTTGGGTGGAAAAGTTAAACTGCCAGAATGACATTCACCACCCGAACCGTTATCAACTTAGGTATCAGGTGACACAAGGCAACCCAAACATTTCTGCATTGCGAACTTTGTTCTTTTAAAACAAAGACAAATTTTGATTTTTCAGATTTGCACTAGAACAAATTCCAACAGATTACTACAAAGTTGTAGTTAGAGCTGACAAAACACCTGTTGTCCAACACCATAGATAATACAATGCATCAGCAATTGGTGAATTAGCGATCGTTCTGGTTGGCGAAGAATTTAACTCACGTGATATATTCTTCATTGCAGAAATGCTGATGTGCACCGGGTTTCAGATACTCATCGCTTATATGATGGATTGCAACATCAAATTCCATTTTGGCAAGGAGAAGATGGATATCATTTCAACATCAAATTGTGAAATCCACAAAAAGCGAAGAATCAAAAAGACAGTCAGAAGTCATGAATTACTATTCATATCGATTGATGATTCATCATAGTGCTGAAAATCATATTTTGAAATTTTGACGATAGTTCCGTCAATACATTGTCGATATTTATGCTAAAATTGAAAACAAACGACTCCTCTACATTTGATTTCATCAAACCAAGATGCGCTCCGAAGAGTACATTCATTTACGGGATGCAGTTATGAATGGTGACGATTTGAAACCAAAATGAATTGGGGAAAATGGCCACACTACCGGCCACATTTACAGGGAGTCCACTGGCGTGCATGAATACGCACAAGATGCAAACACATATGTTCGCGCATATGGCCGCCCAGATTTGTCTTTTACCTTTACATGTAACCCTACGTTTGATAAAATACAATAACTTTTTTTAACGTGACAATCAGCATTGGATTGTTATGATATCTCTGCGCGTGTGTTCAAAAAAAAAATTGAAATCTTTAATAGATTTCATTGTCAAGCATCATGTTTTTGGAGGGACGCGTTGTTGGATGTTTTCAAATGAATGACGTAAAAGAGAATTGTTACATGCACACATTTTAATTTGGTTGATAGAAAAAGTCACACCAGATAAAAATCGATAAAGTCATTTTAGAAGAAATACAAGATTTTGAATTTCATCAATACTTATTTGAAGTCGTCACGACAAACAAAATTAATGGTCCATGGGACTTGATCAACGAAAATTCACCATGCACGACAGATGTTAAATGCACGAAACGATACAAAAGAGATTTACTTTCGGAGACTGTCACTTGCGATGAGAGATATCCACTATATCCTCGACGATCAACTTGTGGAAAATCCATCACTATAAAAGTACGAAAAAATTATGTTAATGTCGATAATCGTTTGGTTGTATCGTATTCACATTTACTCTCGAAAAAGTTCAAAGCACCCATCAATGTCCAGTTTTGCCTTTCAGTGAAATCAATCAAGTATATATGCAAATATGTTAACAAAGGAAGCGAAATGACAGTGTTTGGACGTTACACTAATAGTAATGAAGCAGCATGGCGCATTTTATCATTTCCAATCCACGAATGCAATCCAACACATTTTTTATTTAAAAGTGCACCTTGAAAATGGACAGCGCATGTATTCACAACAGCACCTTACCACCGACATCAACGTTAACTTCATTTGTATCATTATTCGGGAATGATATGTTTGCAAAGAAGCTACTTTACTCTGTAGTGCAAACATATTACACATGGAATGCATCAGTGAGCAACGTCAAAAAACAGGTTAAAGGATTTGAAGAACACCCAATTTATATCCAACCAACGCATTTGGCATTCTCTACCCTGTTCAACCAAACAATGCAAACATGCTTTTACTTGCGATCATTGTTAATCAGCATACGTGGACCGACATTCTTCCAAGAATTTATAACAGTAAATGTTCAAGTATGAGCCACTTATCATGAAGCTGCCAATAATTAAATATTCTGGAAAATAATGCAAATTTGGTCACTTCGCTCTCTGATTCATCGAATATTGCTCAACCACTGCAAATACGCACTGTGTTTGCAATCATCTCGACAACGTGCTTCCCATTCAATCCAAAAGATCTTTGCGAGAAATGCAAAGACTACATGAGTAAGGACATCTGACGTGGTTTGCGTCCAACGAATCGAATTCCGGACATTAAGTTTAGACCAAACGTGTTTAATGAGGCATTGGTTTCGATTGTGTACATATGTTTGGCAATCGCTAACAAAGTACTGCTAGAGTTGGGAATGACTGCCCCAAATCGATCTGCAAACATTTTTATTTTATTTTCTGGTGATTTTTGACAAACTCTACCAATTATACCACGTTCAACAGCGGCTGGTGAATCAAATGCATGTCTCAAATCATCAGTTTTATGGCGACACGTACAGAAATTGACTTTGAAGACAAATATGCTTACACCACTGCAACACATGATGCAGCCGCTGAACGTTTCGCAAACAATTGTTGGATATTGGGAATGAGAAAATGGCAATCGATGAATCCAAAGAATGTTTCCCATTGCGAACAAGCTTCTGTAAAAATCGCAGAATCCACCGACTAAATTATTCACAAAGTTTTCCCAAATATCGCACGGAATTCCAGAACTCACCAGTGGCCCGGGTGCACGCGCTATATCAACTTACAAAAAACCCCGATGTCAATGCCATCAACTTAAACATTCAAAAAGAAATACCAGGTGAAGCGACAACGGATAAGTCCATCGTTAATGCATTGATTCAAAAAAACGAAGTTGTCAATTATCCAACCGAATTCTTGAATTCACTTTATTTGCCAGGCATCCCATCACATATTTTAACACTGAAAAGTTGCCTGCCTATCATTCTTCTACGACATAAAAATTCACCAAAAGTTTGCAACGGTTCCAAGCTTTCAGTGAAAAATACGATGAATACTGCAATTAAGTAGGCTTCCAATTGTTGCACTGTAGAATAAGTTAACGACTTGTTTGTTTACGTCGAAATGGTACAGTTTTGTAAGGTACAAAAAGTCTTTGTTTGAATTTGTTATCCTGCATTTGGTCGTGCTCATGCCACGTTAGCTTACCATTAAATGGATACACCTAAGTACTAATATGCCTCTACTTTCTCTACGCTTTGACTGTTTATGGTGATATCTGTAATCTGTTTTTTTCCCACTCCAGAAATCAACAACAATTTCTTTTCTTTTTAAGACATTTAGCTGGAGAAAATTTTCATCGCTTCAATTGATAAAACTTGTACTAAGTTGCGGTATCAGCCTTCTCACTCATAAATTAAGCCAACGATCATCAGCAAATTTTACGATCGGAACGATATCGCTTGAGCTCTAAATATAATCTGGTATATATTGTATACAGTACAATAGTTTTTTCTGATAACTCAGTTATAAAAAATGTGGGGCTGAAAAATTGAAACAACATGCATACAAGTAACGCACTTTATAAGAATTCAAGCTAGGGCTTCCACTCCCCCCCCCCCAAGAGTCACAGAAGCCCA